CGGGACGTGCAGACCACCCGGGGTGAGACCTTCTGCGGCTACCAGAAAGAGCTGCTGCCTCTGGCCGAGGTGCCGCTGAGGTGGAGCCGGTTCTTGGGCGGGTTCCTGGTCCCTTTCACCATCATCGCCACCTCCTACGTGGTCCTGGCCTGGAAGCTGAGGAAACGGCGCTGGGACGGCTACCGCCGGACCTTCGTTCTTCGCCTGCTGGCTGCCCCACCACGTCCTGGTGCTCTTCAGCACCTACCAGAAGGACAAAGAGTTGTGGGGCGTGCCCCTCAAGCTGGCCAACGCCTTGGCCTACCTCCACAGCTGCCTCAACCCCATTCTGTACGGGCTGGTGGGCTACGCCCGAAGCAGGGGACGCCGGAGGGGCTCCTTCCTGAGCATCTTCCGCAAGGTCCTGGCCGAGGAAGAGGAGGGGACGGGCATCAGCCATAATAGCGGCGAGAGCAGAGGAACCAGGACTCCTGGGTTCGATTGTCCAGATCGCCCGTGATTGCCTTGTGTGTGTGCGCGCGTGTGAGCTACAGCCAGTCTCTGTCTCTTCTGTCGGCTTCTATTTCTTCACCCACCAAACAGCAGCGGTTTGTCTGTTTCACGGCGAGTCACTCGCTGTGGGTCTGGGCAGCCCCCAGGCAAAGGGGCCCCGATCTTTACCTGGTGCTGAGGAGCAGGAGACGGAGCCCCTCCCACGGTGAGAGTTTGTGGGACTGGCTCGGTTGGTGGCGGTTTTATATCTCAGAAAAGTTTGGGAAGAAAACGTTGAAAGGTGTTACCGTGGAAACGGCACCTTTTCGGGCCCACATGCTGCTTTTTTTGAAATGTTGGCTCAGTTTTGTTTAAAAGATGTTTAAATGTCAACATTACAAATGGAACATGCTAAAACGATCCCATCGAAATATTATGATGGAGCCACGTTGCGATTTTTCCCTCAGATTTTCAAGCTTGTGAAATTTTGGGGGGACATAGCCTCCTTATTTAGCGTGGTAAAAATGTTCAAAACCTTACAGACTGGGTCAGACCAAAGGTCCATCTAGCCCAATGTCCCGTCTGCCCACAGTGGCCAGTGACAGGTGCAAAAAAACTAATGTTGCAGGGCATAAAATACCTGCTCGGATGGACGGATTATTTTAGAACACCCCACTGCAGATCTGCTGCCATCTGCCTCCAACACAGTTTGGGCCTGTCAGCAGCTGCATTTAAGCCAATAGCTGCCATAAGCTAATCTGCTTCAGGTTCAACAGGGACACCAATGAAACCACTTTCAGGACTTGAGAGATCTACAGGCAAGGGGAGCTGTCGCCCAAGGTCACGGGGAAAGTCATGTGATTGGTCCGTGCCTCAGTTTCCATCCGCCTCTTTGAAAAATGCTTTGAGATGTACTGAGAATGCTGTAGAACTGCTAGAAATTATACTGTCATATAGAAGTGTAATTAATATAAGCAAGAAAAATGACCCCGGGCTTGGAAAGCTGTCCTGTGCAGAAAGGGTTAAACTTTGGGCATGTTTAGTCTTGAGGGAAGACTGGAGGGGGGCAGGGCAGGAAATGGGAGGGTGGAGCTGAGCAGTGGTGACTACTAGGGAGGGAATGGCCAGCCCCTCCACATGTCACTCCTTGCCTGGGGGGTGAACCTCACTTCTTCCCACCCACCCCCACTCCTCAGCAGGCCCTGCCTCCCCCAGACTCTGCCCCTCCCCGCCACCTTCCCCTAAGGTCATCTCCACATCCATCCACTGCCGCAGGTGAGTGGGGGGAGAGGTGTGCCTACTGACCCCCTGGGCCCTGCTGGGCTCCCCAAAGTGTGGGGCCCGGGGGGCCTGGATAAACCATCCATGGGATGGAATGCCTTTGTGTGCTGGCTCCTGGCCCCTTGCCCCTCCCTCCCATGGCCTTGGGGGGGGGGGGGCGTGACCCTTCATGCCCCCCATGCATTGCCCCTGAACCTCAGCATCTTCCCGTCCGGTCGCCATTTTTGAAATTTACAAGTCCGGATTAACTGCCCGTGTCTACACGTGGCAGGGACCGGGTAGTTCGAATTACCTGTTAAACCTCATTTCAGGAGGAACGACAGGTAGTTCGAACTAGGGCTTTAATTCTACTACTGGGTCTCTTCCGCGTGTAGATGCGGGCAGTTAATCCGGACTTGTATGGGAAGATGCAAATCAAATGCGGGATATTTAAATCCCGGACTTGATTTGCAACTTCGAATGCCTACATTAGCCTCCCTAGTTCGAACTAGGGACTGAGATCTTCTAACCCGGGGTTCCCAACCTGTGGCCCTGCAGGGGGTCCATGGAAAGGTTTTAAAGGTCAGGATCAGACCCACTGCAGTGGAGTGAGGCGTAACAGTTAATTCGAACTAAGGACTTAGTTCGATTAACGTTTCACTGCCACGTGTAGCCGCGCGGCAGTGAGTTCGGGCTAGTGAAATTTCAAAATGGCGACCGGACGGGAACATGCAAATAAGGCCCGGGATATTTAAATCCCGGGCTTCATGTGCAACTCCTCTCGCCTCATTTGCCTATCTAGCTCAAATTAACGAACTAGTGTAGACATACCCCTTCAGGGGAAGAGGCTTCACCCCCTTCCTTGGTCTAAAACCATCCTCCCTTTCCCTCGCCCAGCCAAGACTACCCCACACTCCCAGCAACTGGTCCCTCCCCCCCCAGGCAGCTCAGCCTCCTGCTCTGTCCTGCTCCCAGATCCGAGGTGTATCCGAGGTGTCAGTGTACTGACATACTGCCACAGTGAGTCATGTCTGACTGCTTCTCCCCTCATGCCGAGAGAGCGCCGGGGAGGGGAAACTGAGGTACACGCACACACAATACAGCAGTGACTGTAACAGCACCCCCACTCAGGGGTAGATGACGATTTTGCAGGGCCGAGGGCAGCACAATTTCACGCCCCCCCCCTTTGACACGGCGCATGCACGGCGGTGCCATGGCACATGCACGGTTGCGCCACGGTGCATGTGAGGGGCTTCTTGAAGCACGGGGCCCAGGGTGGCCGCCCCGCTCGCCCTGCCCTATATCTGCCCCTGCCCCCACTACATCACAGATGGGCAGGGGACGGAGGGGCCAGGGACTGAGGAAACAGCACAGGCAAAGAGCAGCCACTGGGAGCTGAGAAGCTCCGTGCCCTGCGGTCGGCACGTCCCTCAGCCCACGCTGAAGCTGACAGGCTGCGGCTTCCTCTGGAGTCGGCTTAAAAACGGGTCAGTCACTTTTACCCTTTGTTTTCTTTTTTGAATATGTCGCCCCCCCTCTAACCGTTCACAAGCTACTAGCATGGCAGGTTGGGCCCCTCGCAAGAATGGATTGTTGGAGGGGTCCGTGAAATTGTAGTAGATTGAAAAGGGGTCGAAAATATGCTCGAAAAGGCGGGGAACCCCTGTTCTTACAGGTACCGCTGCAACAAAGTGGTTCTGTGGAGCAACACAAAATGGTTTGTACTGGGTGTGACGGCACGTCGGGGTTCCCCCTGATCCTGCAGTCCCGGAGCAGCAAGAACAGACTCCGCCAGACGGTTTATTGCTTCCCCAGGATACAGCCCAGCGTAGATGTGGTCTGGTTTCAGGAGTCAGGGCCAGGATGCCTAAGACCCCTTGGATTAGGGGGTCCTTTGTCACCCCTAGATCCTCAGCAAAAGCTGTTTCCTTCATGTTTCCCAGCCAGCAACTGACCCTTTCCTTGAAACCTCTCTTCCTTTGTTCCCTCCCTGCCCTCAACCAGTCGGAGTGGTTGGATCTTTGCCTATGTGACCTAAGGCATCCCCCCTGCTAGGCCGTGCTATAGACACCGGCCAGTAGGGGTCACCCCCAGCCCAAATGCAGCCACTAGTGAATGCCCAACAGAGTGGACAGCCCCCTACTGCATCACACTGGGCATTTCTGAAAGCATGCGAGGTTTGTGGGGACTTCGGCCATTTCAGCGTGAGATGAAAGAAAAGTTGGAACCGTCAGAATGTCCAATGGGACACACGTTCCTGTCGGCTCCCCTTGCTAGCTGGAAAGGGGAGAAGAATTACGTGTGTTAGGGCTTTTACGGGATTTCTGGTTCTTTAGACTAGAAACTGCTTGTGGAAGGGAGGGTTGAGCGTTTCCCTGGTTGCACGACATCAGCAAAACAGCAAACGAATGTTAATGGTGATAAATGCAAAGTAACACACATTGGAAAACATCGTCCCAACTGCACGTACGACTAAAGGAAACTAAATGAGAGAGAGAGAGATCTTGGGGTGTGTCTAGGCTACAGGGTTTTGTTTACAAAAGTGGACTTTTGTTGACAAAACTATACCTGCATGTACACTACCGCCGAGTTCTGTCGACATCTGAAGAAGTGGGCTGTGCCCACGAAAGCTCATGATACCATCTACATGTTTTGTTAGTCTTTAAAGTGATACCAGAATATTTGTTGTTTTCTAAAGGTGTAAGAACTAGGGGTCACCAAATGAAATGAATAGGCAGCTGGTTTAAAACAAACTAAAGGAAATTTTGATGCACACAACGCACAGTCAACCTGTGGAACTCCTTGCCAGAGGATGCTGTGAAGACCTGGACTTTAACAGGGTTCAATGCATGGAGATTAGGTCCATCAAAGGCTATTAGGAAGGATGTTCAGGCACGGTGTCCCTTCCTCTGTTTGTCCGAATCTGGGAATATGTGACAGAGGAAAGATCGCGTGATGATTCCCTGTTCTGTTCATTCCCTCTGGTGCACCTGGCATGGACCACTGTGGGCAGACAAGACCCGGGACTGGATGGACCTTTGCTCTGCCCCAGCCTGGATGCTCTGATGCTCTTAAATATGAGATCTGGTGCATCCACATGGTGGAGCTTGTATCGCGTTCACTGGGACTGAGTGTAGCAAGTCTCCCAGGCGCAGAACGATTGGCAGACAAGTGCTGCAGACCTATCTGTGGCTGGAAGTGACATCTCAGACTCTGCTTTTTGCCAGTGTTTGGCTGCACTCAGGGCGGCCTGGAAACCTCTGAGGGGGTAACAGCGGATGGGTAGCGACTGGAGCCAGGCGGGGCACAGGAAGGCAGCCCCAGTGATGGGAATGTGGCCCATTGACACGGATGGAGTGACAGCTCATTGGCCCCAGCCGGGGATTTGGCCTCCCAGTCCCATTACTCCCCCCGCAGCCAGGCGGGGCGCTGAGGACACTCTGTGAGAAATTAACAGGTAGTTGTGACCTGCAAGTGCTGGGTCCAGCTGGGTGTCAGCCGGCCGGCCGCCTGCGCCGAGCGGGTGTTGCGTTACAGGCACGGAAACACGGATGGAGTGACAGCTCATTGGCCCCAGCCGGGGATTTGGCCTCCCAGTCCCATTACTCCCCCCGCAGCCAGGCGGGGCGCTGAGGACACTCTGTGAGAAATTAACAGGTAGTTGTGACCTGCAAGTGCTGGGTCCAGCTGGGTGTCAGCCGGCCGGCCGCCTGCGCCGAGCGGGTGTTGCGTTACAGGCACGGAACAGGTAAAGGTCACTGTCTTAGC